CTCTCTCTCTCTCTCTCTCTCTCTCTCTCTCTCTCTCTCTCTCTCTCTCTCTCTCTCTCTCTCTCTCTCTCTCTCTCTCTCTCTCTTCAAATGAGTCAGCAAAGAAGCACGAATCAGATAGCAAGGATACATTCAGCAGTTCTCGAAAATTCAGCAGAGTCATTTACGTTCAGCAGTTCTTCTTCTTCATTTCTACGTGGAAGGACCATCGAACAAGCAACAAAGATAAGACTGTTTATTTTATTTTATGAATTTTTTTAAAGGAAAAGTATTGAGACGCAGACCTTCTGAGTCTACGTCTCCCGGCAGTTTGATACCCACACCCTCCCAGTCTATGCCAACATCACAGCATACAGTTGATGACAGAGGGAGAGGCACAAAGTTGCCACAAACTGATCACTGCTAGTGCTGCTTTATTCATATCATGTCAACAATGAAACATTCTATTCATTTCATTGTAGACAAGCTCAACATATATTGGATCTCAACAAAAACATTAAATGCATTTTTAATGATTTTTTTTCATTGTAGACAAGCTCAACATATGGCACTTCTTCCGATGAACGATTGAGGGCATACTCACACCAACTTTTTCTACTCAGCTTTGGACTCGATTGCAGACAGATTCAGCCAGGTCTGGCCGTAATTGTGGGCAGATACATGCAGGAAAGTCCTAGTGCCAGTATGACCTGATTATCAGAACTGGAATACCCAGAAGAACTTAACTCTATTGTTCCCTACCACTGCCTGCCAACCAATCACAGGACAGCGGCGTTTGTCAATCCCAAGTCCGATCAACAACACAAGCCACAACGACAAGCGTTGCACGCTTTGCTGATCATCCTAATCTAACTGGTACAAATTGCAAATGAATGGATGATTGATTGATTTATTGATTGATTGATTTCATCACTTTTTTTTTTTTTTTAATTTGCGCAAAGTGGATACTACTAGCTTCCCCCCCCCCCTTCTTACCACAGCTTGGGGACCAACCGATACGGAGTTCTTCCTCTGTACTCCACAAACTGATCCGGAAATTCGCCCTCCAGCAGTTCCTCTTCCATTCCTATTCTCTTCCAATAGTACACACACGATACAGCCACCAAAAAGGCCAAGCTCAGAAAACTGTTGAGACCTAAACAATAGCTGGCAAACAAGAGGATGTAGCTCAAATAGATGGGGTGTCGAACAGTCGTGTATGGTCCAACCGTAACGAGTCGTGTAGGAGCTACGACTCGGTCGTAAGCACGACCGAGGACTCTGGACGCTTGAACGTGCATCCGAAAAGCAACGATGGCGAGCAGAAATGCAGGAATCTTCAAAAATGGAAGCCTCACGAGCGCATGGCCCGTTTCCAACGCACCCAGCCAATGTCCAAGAGCCACTGATCCTACAAAGCCGATCAGACTCAGCCGGCCGCCGGTTGACTGCCATTGCTTGTCCTCCGAGCGGTCAGCCAAACGCCCGTAACTCAGCACCCGCCGAACGGAACCCATGCAGAAAAAGGCGATATAGAGGGCAGACATGAACAACGGCCATGCATTGACGTAGCCATTGATAAGCCCGTGCGGAACAAGAATGAGCCACGTCACAGCCGCCAGGAGCATTACGAATGAGGTCCAACCGGATACAGGTTGAGCTTGTCGCTTTCGACTCCTCAACACCTCACTCAATGCAAATGCGGCAAGTGCAACTGCCACAACACGAGGCCACATTACAAGGAAATGACTTATCGACAACATAACATCCGCATCGACTAGGAGTCTCGACACGATCTTCATCGTCCCGAAGACGATGCCGTACGCTGCAACCGTGCATGCTGCAATTGTTCCGACGCACTGTGGAGTGAGTCGCCGACCGACAAGACGAACAGACAGCTTCACTTCCCCTTTGCCAAGCCGCTGCCCAACGTGGTCCGCTAATCCTGCCACTCCCTGAGCGAACAGCCACAGGCGCTGTGCTTTTGACCGCAGCACGTCCAGCGACTCCTCCGGGTCAAGAATGTCGACATCGCTGGGATCCAAGATTTCAGCAAGTGCAGGTCCCCACCTGAAAATATTTCCCTCTTCGTCCTCCTCTTCCGGACTGGGAAGGGTCTCTTCCCGACCTCGCCTGATGTAAACGCCATCTGCATCGGGACGGATAGGTGCTGGAGTCGATGGCACATCGTGTGGCCTCTCATCGTCGGCTACAAGCACGGAGCCATGGGCTTCCTCCCGACCAAAAGCAAAAGCCGACCCATCCCCTTCCTCACTGTTACTCTCCTCGCGCTCATCACTCGCCCTCAACGTGGCCGTTTCAGCGGGGCATACCTGCAGCGGCCTGACATGCATCCTATGTGGCGCAGCCCACCGCAACCTGCGTCTCGACACACTATTTTGTCCTTCCAAGCAAGGGCTGTACAGGGGGTTTCGCAGTCCATCACAAAACAGTGATTTGGAAACGCAACCACTTCTCTGAAAACTGGTGGAGCGTGGGGCAAAAGTATCTTGAGTGTTGAAAGCGAGAGCGTGATTGAATGTCCGGATTGCATCCAAGCTCTCCCTAGCTGTGCCTCTGCTCAGAGGGTACGCAAGGTTTTGACCCAACAGACTAGGTCTTACATCTGCAGAGCCGGATTGCAGAGATAACGCTTCACGAGCTCGACAGCTGGAACACAACCCCCCAATTGCTGAGCCCCCACGACCAAGAAGAGATGGCAGAGCCATGGCATGCCCTCAGAACTGCAGCAGTCAGCTGACGGCTATATTCCGAGCACCCGGTCAGACTGTGCAGGACAGACTCCCTATAAGACAGTTCCAATCATGCATGGATGCCAATCATGGAAAGCATCTGGACACATTCCAGTGAGAAATACAGTTAACAGAGACAGAGATTAGCATTGAAATCACATGTGGACCACAGGAAAAGCACCTTGAAACATACATCAAACCCTGGTGACCACATGAAAAAGGCCTTTTTTGTCAAGAGTTTCCACTAGGTTGGCAATGGAATCAAATGAAATTGAGTACAAAAACACAGAGGTTGAAGGATAGACTTGGAATCAAGCCAAGAGTTTGAAGGATAGGCTAGGAATGAAGTCAAGAAGTCAACAGTTTTCAGGGTAAGCTGGTTGCAAAGATCCGGTCCAACCCGGATCAAGATCGAAATTTGAACAGCAAGATCCGCACTATATGAGCATACACAGAACTTAATTACAACTTAAATGATGTACACAGGTTTCTCAAGATCGCGGCTATGGCCGCCTGCAACAACTAAAGCACGTAAGTCTCTCTCTCTCTCTCTCTCTCTCTCTCTCTCTCTCTCTCTCTCTCTCTCTCTCTCTCTCTCTCTCTCTC